TTCGAGACAACCTAATAGAATGCACTAAAATATCGATCCTTTTTCTTATATAATTAGGTCATTTCTCTCAACATAATTCTGAGGAGAGTAAAGGAAGCTTCTTTGGTCCCATTTGAGAGCAAATTCTTTTCATTTTATCATCCTTTTTTTCTTTTGATTTTATCATTAATTTTTCCCCATTCGAGAGCAAATTCTTTTCATTTTATCACGCATTTTTTTAAATTTTTAAAATTTGAAAGGTATTTTCCAGAAATATGCTAATCGATAACGAGTCTCAATGTGTCATCATTAGTGGTGAAAGTGGTGCCGGTAAAACCGTTGCTGCTAAATACATCATGAGCTACATCTCACGGATCTCAGGAGGCGGACCTAAGGTTCAGGTTCGTACACAGGAATTCCCCCTTCCATTTGAATCTTTTCATTTTTCAAGGGCAAACAGATCGGCCGTCCTATCACAGTCAGACTATAGTTCAGCATTACATATGCAGTTTTCGATTTCCTTCCCAATTTTTGAACGACATTGGAACAGCGACCCGATGTTGTTGTGTTTTCGAAACCAGAAACAAACGCATTCAAAATCTTCAATTCCCCATTGCTAGTCTCGTTTTACCAATTTCCCTTTCCTTTATTAGCTGTTCTGCAAAATCATTTTTTCTTCCAGCACGTCAAAGACGTAATCCTGCAATCGAATCCGCTTCTGGAAGCGTTTGGAAACAGCGCCACAGTCCGCAACTGGAATTCATCGCGTTTCGGCAAGTATGTGCAGATAGTGTTTGGCCGTGGAGGAGAGCCAGTTGGCGGGAAGGTAAGTGGCATCAGCTTGGAGAAGTTTTTGTTACATCTACAGATGTCCACCCACATTTTGGTGTTGACTTCAGAACCGCAATACGCAAAAAAAGTCTATAGATTGAGGACTAATTGTAAGCAAATCTTTCTGGATATTCAAGAGCTGCGGAAAAAGAGCGAGCTACTCTTGAATCATGCAGTTCCCATGACAGCGTGGCTCGGTGCCTTACGCTAAAAATGCCTTATTTTTGTACAAGCACCTATACTGCATAATGTTTGGGCGTTTAAGCTCTGGTCCTCAGGTCCTAAAATTAAGAAACACTCATAAGCTCGAAGCAAGCCAACGACTAAGCCTAGGCCCAATCACAGGCCTAACACAAGCCAATGTTTAAAGGCAAAAGTCAGGCTCGTGTTTCGGCATTATGGCGCCTGAAATTGAGTGTAGAGATGGGAGGTGGAACGACAGTGAAGAAAAAAAAAAAAAAACCGTCGACAAGACCGAAATCGAAACCCCTTCCTTCTAGCAGTGAAGGAGGCTTGCTCGGGGGAGAGTCACGTCCAAACGAGTTTTCTGGATATGCCAGCCGTTCCATCGGTTGATACGGCAATCAACTCTAGCTGATCTCACACGTTAGGCCAGCCACGCACCACATCCCATCTGTGCTGCCGGAAATTCTCGCAGCACGGCAGCACACAATGCAAGGCCCTAGCGCCTTTGCCGCGCACTTCCTTTGTCGCGACAGCGTCACACCCCCTCTGCTTGGAGACCCCACTTTCGCACCCTATAAAGGACTTCCTAATGTTCCCTAATCCTGACTCGTGGCTTTAAACACTCTAAATCATCTGTTCGCCTCAGCTGGTAGTATAAGGTCACC